GGAAATAACCAACATCAAAGCAAAAGTAAATGAAATAGAGACTAGAAACACAACAGAAAAAAGATCAATAAAGCTAAGACCTGATTTTTAAAAAATATTAAAAAAGACAAACCTTTAACTATACTAACTCAAGAAAAGAGAAAGAAATCAAATAAAATCAGAAATGAAAGAGGAGACATTACAACAGATACCACAGAAATGCAAAGAATCATGAGAGACTACTATGAATAATTTTAGCCAAACAAACTGGATAACCTAGATGAAATGGATAAATGCCTATAAATATATAATCTATCAAGAATGAAACATGAAAAGTAGAAAATCTGAACGGACCAATAAGAGTATGGAGATGAATCAGTAATCAAAAACTCCCAAAACAGAAAATCCCCAAGCCAGATTGTTTTTGGTGAATGTTAACAAATATTTAAAGAAAGATTAACAGCAATCTTTCTCAAGCACTTTCAAAAATTGAAGAGAAGTCACTCTCAAACTCATCTGCAAGAACAGCATTACCCTGATACCAAAATCAGGTAAGGATACCACAAGAAAAGAAAATTACAGACAAATATCTGTTATAAATATAGATGCAAAAATTCTTTTTTTTTCAATTTTATATCCAGTATAGCTAACATGCAGTGTTATATTTGGGTTAATATTTGTTAATATAATAGCTGTAGTAATAGAGATACTCTAAAATCTTAATGTCCTAATACAATTTAATTTCTCTCTCAGTCAAATTTCAATTAGGGTTTAACAAATGGCCTTCCATTTGGTTAGATGCAAAAATTTTTAACAAAATATTACCAAACCAAATTCAAGAACACATCAAAAAGATAATTCATCATGAGAAAGTAGGATTTATCTCTGAGATGATTAAACATATATAAATCAATAAATGTGAAAAACCACATAAATCGAATGAAAGATAAAAAGATACGAATCATATGATCATCTCAATAAATGCACAAAAAGCACTTAACAAAATATAACATCTTTTCCTGATAAAAACTCTTAACAAATTTATTATGATACTGCTTCATAATAAAGGCCATATACAAGTCCACAGCTAAAATTTATACTCAATGGTAAAATTTTGAAAGATTTTCATCTGAAATGAAAAATAAGATAGCTTTTGTTCAACATAGTATTGAGATTCCTATTTATAGTAATCAGGCAAGATAAAGATATAAATATTACCCAAATCAGTAAGGAAGAAGAAAAATTATCTTTGCAGATAATATGATCCTATGTATAGAAAATACTAAAGACACTACCAAAAAATTGTATCTACCCAACAAATTCAATGAAGTTGCAAGATACCAAATCAACATCCAGAAAATAGTTGTGTTTCTTACATGTATGATAAAACATCTGAGGGCAAAAAACAATAGCAACAAAAAACAAAAAAAACCAATTCCATTCACAATAACATCAAAAAAATTAAAATAGGAATAAATTTAACCAATGAGGTGAACCATCTGTACACTGAACATGACAAAATTTTAATGAAAGAAATTGAAGAAGAGACAAACAAATGGAAATGTATCCCATGTTCATGGATTGAAAGAATTAAAATTGTTAAAATGTCCATACTACTCAAAGTCATCCATAGGTTCAATGAAATCCCTACCAAATTTCCGCAGAAATAGAAAAAAACAATTAAAGTTTGTTTGGAGTTGCAGAAGACCCTGAAGAGCCAAACTGACCCAGAAAAAGAAGACCAAAAGCTGGAGGCATCACACTTTCTGATTTCAAACTATACTACAAAGCTATAGTAATCAAAACAGTATAGTACTGGCATAAAAATAGACATGTAGAACAATGGAGCAGAATTGAGAGCCCAGAAATAAACTCCTGCATATATGGTCAAGTAATATTTGACAAGAGACCCAAAACTACTCAATGGGGAAAGGATAGTCTCCTCAAAATATCATTTAGGGGAAACCTGGATAACCACATGAAAATTAATTAAATAAATAAATAATAAGTAAATAAATTTTGCTGCTCTGTGGTATATGTTGTAACATCTCCTCTTTCATTTCTGATTTTATTTGATTTCTTTCTCTTTTCTTGAGTTAGTATAGTTAAAGTTTTGTCTTTTTTAATATTTTTTAAAAATACATTGTAAAAAACATAGTTTCTATATTTGTGGAAAACTTGAAGACTGTCCCTAGGCCTAACCTCCAGGCTAACTACATAGGCCTTTTCATAGGAAGACTGGGGTTGTGTTTCAGTCTGCTCTTTGTGCACTATCCTTATAGTGATGGTGGTCTGCCAAAAACTCTTTCTGATTGTTATAGCCCCATGGAGTTCTGGAATGCCAACACTCTTGGCCACCAGGCTAGGAGATCAAGTCGTGTCTCCTGTGTGGATTGTGTATACCCACTCACTTTAGCAAGGCAGCTGGAGAATGTATGGGGTGAAGGATGCTTACCAGTTGAGTTCTGGGTATTCCCATACCACTATCTTGGAAAGCCTGAGCAATTGCTTTTATACTGAATGTTTACTTGATAGATATTTAGTTAAATTATTATTATTGGATTTATATTTATTTAGCTATTCTATTTGTCTAATGTTCTTTTCCCTCTATTTAGGCTTCATTTTATTAATTGGTGGAATTTTAATTCTTTTATTTTTTTCTAAAAATTTTGAATTGTTTTCCTAGTGTTTACTCTGGAATTACAATACAGGCATTCTTCAAAAGATATTGCAGGTTCAGTTCCATACCACCACAATAAAACAAATATCACAATAAAGCAAGTTAATCTTCCTGTTTCCCAGTGTATATAAAAGTTATGTTTGCAATATATTGTAGTCTATTAAGTATGCATTATCATTACAAAAACATTGCAAATACCTTAATGTAAAAACATATTATTGCTAAAAAGTGTTAAGCATCATCTGAGCTTTCAGTGAGTCATAATATTTTTGTAGGTGAAGAGTTTTGCCTCAACATTGATGGCTGCTGACTGATCAGGGTGGTGGTTGCTGAAGTCTAGGATGGTTGTGGCATTTTGTTAAAATAAGACAACAGTGAAATTTGTTGCATTGATTGGCTCTTCCTTTCATGATTTCTTTGTAGCATGTGATGCTCTTTGATAGCATTTTTACCTATAGTCTACCTCCTTTAAAAATGGAAACCCTGCTTTATGAACCAAGTTTATGTAATATTCTAAATCTTTTGCTGTCATTTCAACAATCTTCACAGTACCTTCACCAGGAATAGATTCTATCTCAAAAAACCATTTTCTTTGCTCATCCATAAGAAGCAACTCCTCATCTGTTAGTTTTATGATGAGATTGCAGTGATTCAGTCACATCTTCAGATACCACTTCTAATCTAATTTTCTTACCACGTCTGCAATTACTTGCTCCACCAGTCTTGAATCACTCAAAGTCATCCATAAGGGTTGGAATCAACTTGTTCCAAACTCCTGTTAATGTTGATATTTTGACCTCTCCCCATGAATCACAAATGCTCTTAATTGCCTTTAAAATGGTGACTCCTTTCCAGAAAATTTTCAATTTCCTTTGCCCAGATCTATCAGAGGAATCACTATCTATGGCTGCCATAGATTTATGAAATGCATTTCCTAAGTAATAGGACTTGAAAGTTCAAATTACTCCTTCATCTGTGGGCTTTAGAATGAATGTTTTGTTAGCAGGCAAGGCATAAAAACAACATTAATTTTATTGTACATCTCCATCAGAGCTCTTAGGGGACCAGATGCATTGTCAATGAGCAATGTTATTTTGAAAAACATCTATTTTTCTCAGCAGCAGGCTTCAACAGTGTGTTTAAAATATTTAGTAAACCATGTTGTAAACAGATATGCTGTCACCCAGCTTTTCTGTTCCATTTATAGAGGACATACATGCAGAGTAGATTTAGCATAATTCTTAAGGTTTTTGGATTTTAAGAATGGTAAATGAGCATTGACTTCAACTCAGTCACCAACTGCATAAGCCCCCCACAGCAGAGACTCAGACTGCCCTTTGAAGCTTTGAAGCCAGGCATTGACTTTTCCTCTCTAGCTATGAAATTAATAGGCGACATTTTCTTTCAATAGAAGACTGTTTTGTTTACATTGAAAATAGATTGTTTAGTGTAGTCACATTTATTAGTTATCTTAACTAGACCTTCTGGCTAACTTGCTGCAATTTCTACATCAGTACTTGCTGCTTCACTTTGCACTTTTATATTATGGAGATGGCTTCTTTCCTTAAACATCAACCTCTGCTACCCTCAAACTTTTCTTCTTCAGTTTCCTCACCTCTCTTGGCATTTATAGAATTGAGAATTAGGGCCTTATTCTGGATTGGGCTTTGGCTTAAAGGAATGTTCTGTCTGGTTTGATCTTCTATCCAGACTACTAAAACTTTCTCCATATCAGCAGTAAGGCTATTTTGCTTTTTTATTATTTGTATGTTTATAGATTAGCACTTTTAATTTTCTTCAAAAACTTTGCATGCTTAACTTGGCTAACTGGTGCTAGAGGCCTAGCTTTGGCCTATCTTGGCTTTCAAAATGCCTTCTTTACTAAGGTTAATCATCTGGAGCTTTTGATTTAAATTCAAAGACATGTGACTTTTCCTTCCCCTTGTGCACTTAGAGGCCATTGTAGCGTTATTAACTGGCCTAATTTAAGTATTGTTGTGTATCAGGGAATATGGAGGCACAAGAAGAGAGAGAAGAGGGACAGTTTATTGGTGGAGCAGTCAAAGCACATATAATACTTATTCATTAAGTTCACATCTTATTTCTTGCTTTGACATTTATTTAAACCTGAGGACAGTCTTCTAACGTATTTAACTAAGTGGATGAAAAGTAAGTATCTGAGAAAATCTCATTACAAATATTGTGTAACACTAATTAATTAAAGCCACTATTCAAGATAACTCTTTTAATTACTCAGGTGATCATGAAAGATTTGACTCAGCATTATAGTTCTTTAATTATTTCATAAAAGAGCATCTATTTTTTTTTCAAATTTTAATTTCTACCCACCAGATTTCTGAACATTTCCATCATCAATACTTCCCCCTGGTGAACCAATCTGGAATTCACAATATGGAGGCCTATAGCCAGGAAAGCAATGACAATTACCCAAATTATTACATATCTGAAACAAACAAAAAAAGCCATATAATTACTATAAATTGTGTTAGATTTTATATCTTATGTATATCTTCAAAAGAATAAAATCACTATTTTTCTGTTTATTAATACTGTATGAGAAATGTTAGAAAAAATAGTGAAAATTTTGACAACATAATGGTCAATGACAAAATCACTACCTATATGATAGTATATTTATGACCCCTATATATTGACTGTTCTTGATAAGTACTTTGTCTTTTCCCAATCATTTTTAATAAATAGGATTCAATAAATTATGAGTACAATAAATAAGAGTACAACATTGGGTGAATTTAGAATTTCCAAAAATATCTCATTTAGTTATTTTTTAAACATTTGCTACCACCACTTCTGCATTTTCTATACCTACACTTTAATTTCTATACAAAATATTGTAATAAAATTACCATCAATTGACTTGGCCACTTTAATTTCTTATCTTAATCCCCTTTTCAAAATTTTACTTCAGTGACCAGTCATTTGTATTTCATTTTTAAGTGAACACATTTTCCAAAATAAAATAAAATAAATGCAAAAAATATTAAAAATGAACAATAAAATAAAACCTTATAATAAACTTGTAATTCTAGAGGTTTACATCTATGGAGTTTACATGTTATTGTGCTTTTACATTTAACATTTTAGTATTAATTTTCATTTTAAAGTAAAACAAGTAAATAAAATTTTGTAAAATTCAAACAGTTAAAATGCATAAAGCTAAGAGTTCTCATCCACTAATTAAGTCCCACTTTCCACCAGTAAAATGTTTCCTTGTTTCCTTCCTACTACTAAGTCACTATTTCTCCCTTCAGTTTTGTTAACATTTCTTTTATATATTTAGATGTTTGGAATTCAGGTGCATGTCTATTACAATTTTTATATTCTCTTGATGATTCTTTTATCATTATATAGTGACCTTCTTGCCTTTTTTGACAATTTTTGCTAAACTATGTTTTCTCTGATATAAGTATAGCCACACTACTGTCTTTTGGTTACCATTTACATGGGAAATATCTTTCCATTCCTCCATGTTAAGCTTATGTGTGTCCTTAAAAGTAAAGTAAATCTTTGTAGGCAGTATATCATTTCATGTTGTATTTTAATAAAAATTCAATTAATTTATATTTAAAGTAATTATGGGTTAGTAAGGATTTACTATTACCTTTGTTTTCCCTATTTTCTTGTGGTTTCTTTGTTCTGTTTTTCCTCTCTTGCTGTTCTCCTTTGTGATTTGATTTTTTAAAAAAAATACTTTTATGCTTTGATTATTTTCTCCTTCTCTTTAGTGAGTCCACTACAGGTTTTTTATTTGAGCTATCATGAGGCTTATATAAAATATTTCGTAGATAGAACAGTCTATTTTAAGCTGATAACAACCCAACTTTGACCTTATACAAATATTCTACACTTTAATTTCTCCTTCCCCCACATTTTGTGTAATTGATGCCAAAATTTCCATCATTTTATATGGTGTATTCATTAACACATTTTTGTATCTAGTTAATTTTAATATTTTTCTTTCAAAGATTTGTTATTTATTTATTATTTATTTATTTATTTTTGAGAGGGAGAGAGAGAGAGCATAAGCAGGTAGGAGGGGCAGAGAGAGAGGGAGAAATAGGCTCCCTGCTGATCCCAGGCCTGTAAGAATATGACCTGAGCCAAAGGCAGACACTAAACCAACTGACCCACTCAGATGCCCTAATTTTAAAACTGTGTCTCTTAACTTTCATAAGAGTTTAAAGTGATTTACATGTTAACAGTGCAATATTAGAGTATTATGAATTTGAATATATTTTAATTTTTACAGTAACTTTTATGCTTTTCCATATTTTCATGTTGTTAGTTTCTATTTTTAAACTTGAACTCCCTTTTGCATTTCAGAAGAGAGAATATATGAAGAAATAATTACTGAAAACTTCCAAAATTCAATGAATAGCATGAATACAAACATCTGAAAGCTCACAAACTTCAAGGAAGATGAACTTAAAATGGCTCACACTGGTGCATATTAGAATCAAACTTTAAAAGCCAAAAGCAGAGAGAGAATTTAGAAAGCAGCAAGAGATCCTAAGTGAGATTATCAGCAGCTTTCTTATGAGAAACTTTGGAAACCATCATTTGTTGCTTTTTCTCTAGTTCTTTAAAGTGTAGAGTTAGTTGGTGAATTTCGGATTTTTCTATTTTTTTGAGTGAGGCTTGGATGGCTATGTATTTCCCCCTTAGAACCACCTTTGCAATATCCCATAGATTTTGGACTGATGTGTTTTCATTCTCATTGGTTTCCATGAATTGTTTAAGTTCTTCTTTGATTTCCTGGTTGACTCAAACATTCTTGAACAGAGTGGTCTTTAGCTTCCAAGTATTTGAATTTCTGCCAAATTTTTTCTTGTGATTGAGTTCCAGTTTTAAAGCATTATGGTCTGAGAATATGCAGGGAATAATCTCAACCTTTTGGTGTCAGTTGAGTCCTGATTTGTGACCCAGTATGTGGTCTATTCTAGAGAAGGTTCATGTGCACTCAAGAAAAATGAGTATTCTGTTGTTTTAGGGTGGAATGTTCTGTATATATCTATGAGGTCCATCTGGTCCAGTGTGTCATTCAAAGCTCTTGTTCTTTGTTGATTTTCTTTAGAAGAGAAATAATTAAGATTAGAGCAGAGATCAATGAATTAGAAACCAGAAACACAGTAGATCAGATCAACGAAACTAGAAGCTGGTTCTTTGAAAGAATTAATAAGATTGATAAACCACTGGCCAGACTTATCCAAAAGAAAAGAAAAAGAACCCAAACGAATAAAATTATGAATGAACGGGGAGAGATCACGACTAACACCAAGGAAATAGAAACAATTATTAGAAATTATTATCAACAACTATATGACAATAAACTGAGCAAGCTGGATGAAATGGATGCCTTCCTGGAAACAATAAACTCCCAAGACTGAAGCAGGAAGAAATTGACAACCTGAATATGCCAATAACCAGTAACGTGATTGAAGCAGTGATCAAAAACCTCCCAAAATACAAGAGTCCAGTGCCTGATGGATTCTCTGGGGAATTCTACCAAACATTCAAAGAAGAAATAATACCTATTCTCCTGAAGCTGTTTCAAAAAATAGAAACAGAAGGAACGCTTCCAGACTCATTCTACAAGACCAGCATTACCTTAATCCTTAAACCAGGCAAAGACCCCATCAAAAAGGAAAATTTCAGACCAATATCCCTGATGAATATGGATTCCAAAATCCTCAACAAAATCATAGCTAATAGGATCCAACAATACATTAAAAGGATCATCCATCACGACCAAGTGGGATTTATCCCCGGGATGCAAGGGTGGTTCAACATTCACAAATCAATCAATGTGATAGAACACATTAATAAGAGGAGAGAGAAAAACCACACTGTCCTCTCAATTGATGCAGAAAAAGCATTTGACAAAATACAGCATCCTTTCCTGATTAAAACTCTTCAGAGTATAGGGATAGAGGGAAGATTCCTCAAGTTCATAAAATCCATCTATGAAAAACCCACAATGAATATCATTCTCCATGGGGAAAAGCTGAGAGCCTTTCCCTTAAGATCAGGAACATGTCAAGGATGCCCACTCTCGCCACCATTGTTCAACATAGTATTAGAAGTCCTAACAACAGCAATTAGACAACAAAAAGATATAAAAGTTATTCAATTTGGCAAAGAAGAAATCAAACTCTCTCTCTTTGCAAATGACATGATATTTTACGTGGAAAACCCAAAAGATTCAACCCCCAAATTACTAGAACTCATACAGCAATTCAGTAATGTGGCAGGATACAAAACCAATGCACAGACATCAGTTGCTGTCTTATAGACTAGCAATGCAACTGTAGAAAGAGAAATTAGAGAAATTATTCCATTTACAATAGCACCAAAAACCATAAGATACCTTGGAATAAACCTAATGAAAGAGGTAAAGGATCTATACTCTAGGAACTACAGAACACTCATGAAAGAAATTGTAGAAGACACAAAAAGATGGAAAAACATTCCATGCTACCCAGACCAATCTATACCTTCAATGCCATCCCGATCAAAATTCCAATGACATTTTCCAAAGTGCTGGAACAAACAATCCTAAAATTTGTATGGAATCAGAAAAGACCCTGAATCGCCAGGGAAATGTTGAAACAGAAAAACAAAGCTGTGGGCATCACGTAGCCTGATTTCAAGCTATATTACAAAGCTGTGATCACCAAGACAGCATGGTACTGGCACAAAAACAGACATACAGAGCAATGAAAAAGAATAGAGAGCCCAGATACGGACCCTCAACTCTATGGTCAAATAATCTTCAACAAAGCACGAAAAAATATGCAATGGAAAAAAGACAGTCTCTTCAATAAATGGTGCTGGGAAAATTGGACAGC